AAAAGCCCCTATATATAATGTTTTATCTTTTGTATGCACTTATTTACCTCCATTTCCCTCCGAATAGACACGGTCATCTCCCAAAATAAAATGGTTCTTATATTCATCCATGTGTAATACTGCAGCAATGTAAGGTAGTGTTGTTTTTCCACTATAAGGTCCTAACTCGCCAGGACTGTACGATGAAGGCTGTCTTGGTGGAAGAGTGTCATCTTCAAGTTGCTGTACTATGACCTGTATCTGTCTGTAGGAGAAATAATTTAGTTTGTGTAAATGTTATTATTAATTCCGTTCTTAGAGTGAAAGCATTTAACCCGGGAAGTAAAAATATACCAGTCAACGAAAGAAAACAATRGAATTAGTGTCTACTAATTATACAGCTTCTTATTAATCCCATATAGGTAACTGTCCAATTATTCGTTCTTAATTGGACAGGTCTTGTTGATATGGGATTAATTASGCAGCTATATAATTAATAGGTAATGGGATTTCATGCTCCCCAATCAAGAAATAATTAGACTCGAAAAATTCCTCTGACTGCCATATTGGACTAGGCCTWYGGCCTCATCCAATTTTGTCAGTCCTCGGAATTTTCCTCGTCCAATTATTTCTTAATTRGACAGCATGGAGTCCTATTACATATACTAATTAACAATTAGACMCGCAGTCCGAATAGTCTATGAGTCAATAGTCCATGAGGCCGAAGGCCGAATGAGCTATTGACTCGTAGACCATGAAGCAGGCGAGACGGGCATAATGGTCTGAGTATGATTCTACTGATCTTTTAAATAAATGGATAAATAATATTATGACACTAAGTTGATATCATGTATTTTCTGTGTGGCCTCAAGCCCATATTAGGATTAGTGTTTGCCTATATTAGTATTTCTTTAAACGCTTTCGGTAAACACAGAAGTGACTGAGTACTGAARGAAATGACATGTGTCTTAAATGGGGAAATAAGTCAATGGGTCTGTATTGGACGAAWATATAACAAACGAATATGGTGATATGAATTATTCATTTCTTTCTTTATATTTATTTATTTATTCTATATAGTTTACCTGACTTTCTTTCCGTTGCCAAGGTATTTAATGTTGTGTATCGGTACTGTTATCGTATGGGCCGTGGTCTCTATCTCTTCTAATGGTGGATATGTTGGCTTGCTAGCTACTGCAGAACACAATGAAACAGATATTCTATTTTACCACGGATTTTTTTCCTTTCTATATCTTAACACTACCATAATTGTCGCTATAGTGTCATCAAGTCAAAATGCTGAACAATAAGAGTGTTAAAAGAATCGACAATGAAATGTAAGGTATTCGCATTTAAGAACTTCAAATGTGACAACCCGCGGTGCATAGGACTGTGGGGCTGAATTGGGGACGCGAAATGGTGAAGCTTTTAAGATCMAAAGTCCAACAATAGTCTCTTTTCTAATTTGGTAAGTACTGCTGTGTTTTATGACTAAAGATTCATCTGCATAAGCTTTAGTCTCACTTAAGAGCAAATCATTTGCAAAAGTCAACTGCGCATGCGATGTAAAGAATTTAATGTGAAGCTTGAAAGATACCAATGTTTTGAAATCCCACAGACTTTTAATGGTAGCTGTGAATAGCTGACTTATAAACGATTCTAAGTCTGTACAAATGAGTCTTTGGTCTTATAAAACAGCGGAAAGCATCGAATGCGAAACAGGTGTCGGTATTCAAGGTTTCTACTACAAGAGTTTCTTTGAAATTTGAGCAGGCGTGCATTACTAAGTCGAGAATTAGGAAAACAAGAGTTTGATACTTACAATGGACATGTAGCAGTTTACTCGCTGTTATTGTTACCCCTACTTCATAGTTTTTAGCCACACACGTGTAGTTTCCGCCCATCTCTCGCTTTATTTGTCGTCGATGAAGAACACCAACATAAAACCCATTTTTTTCTGTAATTTGGACCTTATAACCGTCCACTTCTTCGCCATTTTTGGCCCAAGTGAAAAATACCCGTGGATGTGAATGAACTGAGCATTTTAGTTTAATGTYTGTCCCTTCATGTAGTGGAGAAGTCTTGTCCATAGTTATATTAACATCGGATATGTCTGGAAAAAAGAAATGTAAAAGTGACTTAAAAGAGGTTCTTGCCTTGCATGCGATCACTCTGTATGATTATGTTCGTTACTTTGCTAATACAAAAAACGTTTCGTTCTCGAAATAACCGAACAATTCTTTTGATTTTTAAGCTGAAGTAAAATTAATATATTCTGATGTGGCGGTATTCCCGTGTATATATTTATAGCATTATTAAATCTGAAAAGAACAGAGATAGCAATGTTGAAGACATGCAACAACGTTGAACAAACTAACAGCAATCTGCAGGTTGCAAAATCATCATTTGACCAGTAACTGACATTATCAGCAAACAGCCAATGTTGTAAAAAGTTCAAATGTGTRTTTAAACACGTTCTTACGATAACAAGGTACCGAACGACGACAAAAGCAACAACAACAAGAAAAACCGATTTCCAGAGACTATAACAAAATTTGTCTCTACTTTGTATAAACCCAAAGTTAAACAAAATCCTYGTTTATTACTTACAGTTCACTTTGACTTCAGCAGTCGATGCAGATTCTAGGCCAGCGGTGTTCCTAGCAATACACTCATATTGACCTGCATCATGCCTTGTGGTGTTCAGAATGGTTAATGAGTTATCGGGTTGGATTAAAATCCTCGATGTGTTCTTCAGCTCTATATTTCCCTTTTGCCAGATAAWATAGGGTTGTGGTTGTCCTGTGGCCTTGCATTTCATTACTAGTTTCATRCCCTCTCTGACATTGATATCCTTTAGACCCTGGACGATTACAGGCTTGGCTAAAAATAATAGATTCATGAATGTTAAAACTTAAACTTAGCTAAGAAGGATTTGTTGGAGTAGAGACAAAATGATAGAAATATTCTTAACAGTAAATACAAAACTTACAGTATGGGAGGCCTGTGGTGACTGGATAAATTGTCGAARTAAAAAGGGGGGCTTGGGTCGAGGTAGCACTTAAACTTCCTCGTACTGACGTCATACTTTCACCAGCGCTTGTTGCAGTAGAGACGAGGGCTTGGGTCGAGGTAGAGCTTAAACTTMCTTGTACTGGCTGCATACTTTCACTTGTACTTATTGCAGTGAAGACGAGGGCTTGTGTCGAGGTAGGGCTTATACTTCCTTGTACTGGCCGCATACCTTCAGTTGCGCTTGTTGCAGTGGAGACAAGGGCTTGTGTCGAGGCAGGGCTTATACTTCCTTGTACTGGCCGCATACTTTCAGTTGCGCTTGTTGCAGTGGAGACGAGGGCTTGTGTCGAGGTAGGGCTTATACTTCCTTGTACTGACCGCATACTTTCAGTTGCGCTTGTTGCAGTGGAGACAAGTGCTTGTGTCGAGGTAGAGCTTATACTTCCTTGTACTGACCGCATACTTTCACTTGTACTTATTTCAGTGAAGACGAGGGCTTGTGTCGAGGTTGGGCTTATACTTCCTTGTACTGACGTCATACTTTCATTTGTACTTRTCGCCACAACGGAAGTCACRCCTAAAATCGTATTTGTTATAGAAGCAGAAAGGAAGTATTTGACAATCAATAAAAGTATCGTGACGGATCTTGAGGTCTCTCGGAAGCGCTTCCAGCACACGGCAAGAAGGGAGTCTTAGAGTTAAAAGAAGGGAAAAGAGAGGAGAGCAGAGGAGAGCAGAGGAGAGGAGAGCAGTGGGAAGGATTAAAGGACTGAATGATTGTAAAATTTTGTTGGGAGGATTTGCATTGAAGGGCATCTTAGGGACATTGTCAGTGATTTAGAGCAGATGTTTGTCTGGGAAGAACTTCCGATTTCTCTTGCATGCTGAAGGTACATCATGGAAGAGGATAGTTTAGACAGCACGACAGCTCGTAGCTACTACCGCTTTTGGTGTTATTTTGTAAAACAAATTATTTTTAAGATATCTTTCTTCAAATCAATAAGTATTAGAATCCACCAACGTTCTTTGGTATTTTGAGATCGCGAAGAAGTTATTCCTTTTATATTTACTATGATTTTCGGACTGTCGTGAGATATTACTCGAAAAGGAATATTAATTTGAGATCGAGTATGAATATATCAAAAAATATATAGCGCAAGTCGCTATTTACATATGATCAAATGCACTCAAAATAAAATACAAGTAAAAGTGATACAGCTAAATAAATGAAGTCTAGAAATCTTAGACATAAGAATAAAGAAACGACTATTGAATACATCGGTAAACTAATCATAAATCATATGCTGTAGTGACCTAACGAGACTTATATTATCCTATTAAAAGAATTAATTGTGCTTTTAATATCAAATTAATACATTGAGAAATTAATTTAACCAGTGCTAATAAGGGTGGTCATGGTATGACTGAATTAAGGAGTAAAATGATATTTTGTGTCAAGGGGAATTTGATATTTGTACTTGGGGAAATATTTTTGTGGTTATGATAACGAAGAATTAATCGAAAGTACAAGAATGCAAATAAGATAAAAATATATAAAAAATAAAGAAATTCACTTACCAGAGGTGGTACTTAYTGTCGTTTGATAAGTAATTTGTAGCAACAGACTAAAAAATAACACACCAAAATAGTTTGAAAAGGAGGCCATAATTTTAGAAAATTCAGTTCAAAAAAGCTAGGTCAAGAATTGCTTTGGTGTTTTCCAATGCAGATCATTCAGCTCTTAAATATGAAACGAAACGAAACTGACGGGGCAATAAACCTGTCGCCGGCTATTGTTTTTCAACAAYGTTTCCTTATTTGGGAAGGACTTCAGCATTAGCAAAGGAAGCTAGGAGCCAAGCCTTCAGCATGCTTGGCAAGCACTAGAAAGGATTTCAKTTTTTTTTGTTCTATAGTGACGGATGTTGCTGGAGGGGACTCGATGAAAGTATCCTCTGATAGTCACGTTCAAAGGCCGTTTTTTTTTTTGCAACCAGTGCACTTCTTGAAAAAGAAAGGATATTGTTTGCATCTGATTTAAAAACTCATGGCTTGAATTTGAACCACTGTTTGCCTAACAATTTTCTTTCAACATTTCCCCCCACGCTTTGTTTTCATTTT